AGACGATTTTGTGCGATGAACAGCCAATTGTTTTTTGGGGTTCACTCGTTCTTTCAAGCTTTCAAAAAGCAAATATTAACAATAATAATGGAATAATAAGAACATGAAACAACCAAACGGAGGAGGTATCTAACTATTTTTCTCCTCCTACATACCCGCTTTAGGCACCGTTTGGCATGGCTCCACTTCACCCATGAAGCTTTTTTTGGGGGTTCAGCTCCATGAACAGTTCTATGGGTGGAGCTGTAGCCGTTTTGATAAATCGTTTGGCAAAACAGCTTCACATATAGTTTTTCTTAAAATATGCTCTCAGAGAACGCCATGTAAAATGAGGTGAAGCCGAGAGAAGCCACTATTTTTGGCTCCTTCCCACCCAAAAGCTCTGTGAGAGCACGTTTTTAGGTGCTTCATCGGTGGAGCCGTTTTATTTTACCCTGTTTAGCAAAAAAACGGCTCCAAATAGCTCTGAAGCCGCTAGAGAAGCCCTGCCAAACGGGGCTTTACTCTAAAATTGTTGGTTACCTTAGTTTCATTTGAAGTCTAACTTTTCTACTCCTTCAAATTCTAGGTTTAAAATGAGTTAAACTTTCTTAATTTTGACAAAGTTTATAAAAATAGTATAAATACCTATTTCTTTAAATAGTTTCATTATGAAAAATATACTCCTAGTTATTCTAATGATACTTATTCAGTATTATAAATGTTAGTAATTTTTTAATATATTTGGTGAAACTTGAAATTGTTTGACTCATTAAAAAACAGTAATCACATTTTTTTGGGATGAAGAGAGTAACTTTAGTCACTATCCTTTAGAAGAAAAAAATTAACGTCTAAAAGTTCAAATAAGTGTACTATCAAGATATATTTCATGAAAAATAATAAAACTAATTCGATGTTGTAGATACTTAATAAAAATTAAATCCACCTATAATTTGGAACGAAACAGAGTGGACCTAGTCACCTAGGCTCGGTTTTGTAGAGCTCCTACCAGATCTAGCTTCTCTGACGTATCCACTGTTCACGCATTGTCTACGGGAGCTCTTTTTCTCTCTCATCCCTTCTTTTCTCGTATAGCCGGTGAAGCCAGGTGAAGTAAAAAAATGGCTCCACCGGTTCTGTGAGAGGAGGAGAAAGGAGAGAGAGAAAGAGCTCATATGAATACATGAACAGTACATGCGTCAGAGAAGCTGAAGCCGTAGAAGCTCCACTAAGTTAATAATACATGGTAGAAGAACAAAGCGCCAGCGTCGCAGCAATCTATCTAAAGGAGTCGATGAAGCTAGATGAGGTGGCGTGTGGGGGGGGGTTTGTGGTGGTGGTGGTGGGGGTACAGTTGATCGACGTGAGCAGTTTGTTATGGCTCTGTCAGTACTCCATTCGCTCCAAATTGTAAGTCGTTTTGATTTTTTTTTCATTTATTTTGCTATATATCTAGATATATTATTATATCTAGATGTATAGTAAAATGGATGTACCAAAAAAAATCAAAGCAATGTATAATTTGAAACGGAGGGAATAACGTGTAACCAATGGAGCCCCGCACCTTTTACTAGATTCATCTTAGGTAACGTTTGTTCCCCTTGAGAATCTAATAATCTGGATAAAAAAATTTCAGAATTCTAAAATCTCATCAAACATGTTAGAATTCTAACATACATGCGCAAAATACAAGAAATTTTAGAGATTATTTTTATTCAGAATCCGGATTGTAGAATCTATCTAAACGGGACTATCGTCCTGTTCGTTTGGTTTATAAGTCGTACTTTTTCAGCCAGTGAATAATATTTTTCTCTCATAACAAATCAATAACAATATTTTTAAATTTATAGCTTATCGCCTAAGCGAACATAGCATATAGGAGCGGTTGAAATGTGGATTTCGATTGCGTCAGGGTTGAATTCGTGGACCAGAAGATCGACCAGGTGCTGACTTGTTACCTTACCCTCCATCGTTACACCTACGCACTACGAGTATTAAGCTAAGCATGCACTTGACTTGCCATACGCGCTTGGTCAAAGTTGGTGGATACCTCAGCTTCAGCTGTGGATTAGCGATCAAGTCTAACAGCATGCGTGGATATCGCAGACCAAAACCACACATTGATGCATGGGCATCTGCTTGCTAATTCAGTCTGTTCGCTTATTGTTTCAGCCAAAACTTATCAGTTAGCTAACATTTTTTTCTCTCACAACAAACCAGCATTAGCTGAACTTATTAGTCCAGAAATCGACCAGCGAACAGGCCGATTGAATGAGTAGTCAATTCGAACTCGATCAGCTGGTGGCCCAATAAGTCAAACACAACTGACCACAGATCTAAATTGAATGGACTGGGTCCAACGCAGCAGGCAGCAGCTGCACCGCGCTGGCCACTGTCCAAGTGACGGCGCGTGTTCATGGATGGTCCTGCCGTCCTGGGCTCCTGGCCTTGGTTTGTTTTCCCCACCGTGGCACCATTCTGATATTATTGACGAAGTCCCTCTGAATTCTTAGCGTGCCGACGTCGACCGGTCGAGCTTTGACAGTAGCCGCAGCACACACAGCAGTAGGGAAGCACCGTGTACTCGGTCCCTCGCTGCTTGCAGTAGGACTTGGTCGCCTGCTTGCGTTCGTACTAGACTCGGTTCCAAAAAGTAGCTTTCCAGCACGAAGCCAACACACGCGCCAACAGGCAAGACATGCATGATGCATGACATGATGGAACCGTGGAAGGATCCAATCCAATGCTCTAGAAAAGAGAAACAAAAAGGATGAAGACCAAGAAAAAGGAAAGCTGGAGCACGAGCGGCCCAGTCGCGCCCATCACCACTTCTCCATGCCGATGTGGTACCGCGACAGAGAGTACAGGCTGGGATGGTGCCACTGCCACAAAAGAGGACACATGACGCGTACGTTCAACTGAACAGAAAATGCTTCACGTATAGAACTAGAGCATCTCCGAGAATTCTCTGTATATCCTCATAATCTTTGTTTTTTAGAAAAACAGGGAAAACATCATCTCCAACAACTTCTAATATATACTCTAATCTTTTAAGACTTAGAAAATCCCCCTCCTTTTCGCGTAACTTTGTGCGGACGAAGCCACGCGCGGATTGGCGTCCCCACAGAGTCCTTCTTCCCGCGCCTTTCCCAGCTTCCGGCCCTGGAACTCGTAGTGGTGCGACGCCAGTGTCTTGGCCGCCTTGCCGACGAGGAGGACGGCGACGAGCTGTAGCCCCTCCGTGAGCTCCCCGTCGCGTTGCACGAATTCGACGAACCGGTCCACAAACGACGGGCCGATGTACATGACCGAGAAGGTGCGCGACGCCGAGCACGGCGGCGGTGAAGGAATCTGCGCCATAAGGAGCGCAATAGCAGCGGGTGAGCACCGGCGCCGGGGCTTGATGAACCTTGGCCGGCGCGGGCTGATTTGAGGCGAATCAACGCGCGTCGCCACTTCGGCGGTGTTGGGCGGCGCCACGGGAGGGACTTGGTCGGCCGCGATCGTCACCCTGGAGCCCTTGGCGATGAACGGGTTGATCCTTCTCGGTCTTGTTGCCCGGCGTGGAGTTGATGACGATGGAGCCGTCGCAGCCCCGGACGAAGCAAAAGTGCCACCAAGGCGACGATGAGCACCCGCTTGCTTGTGTGCAGGCTGCTGGTTGCATGCTTGCCTGGTTACTACCCGCCTGCTTGCATGGTACTGTATGCATGCTCTGTTTGCTTGCCTGGTGGTCGGCCGCTGTTGCCTGCTTGCCTGGTTGTCGACTGCTGGGCTAGGGCAACACGAAGGAAAGGAGGCGGCGGCGGCGTACCTATGCGCGAGCACAAAGAATTCTGTGCGAAAAAAAGGATTGAAAAAAAACTCAAATGGACCAAAATTTAATTTTTTAAGTGAAATATTAGGAATTGTTGGAGATGTTTCTCTTTTTTTCTCCCAATACTTTTTAGGAGTTGGAAAACATGGAGTTTTTAGGAGGAATATTTAGGGAACTCTTTTACTTCCTATAATCATATACTCATATTGTATTTTAGCGTAAATACAAGCCAAACCCAGTCGCCAATGCAATTCGCCGTGCCGTTCACATCACAGCAGATCGGGGAGTTGATCATCAGGGGAATGGTTATTGGTGAGGTTACCTGTCCCTGTCGATCTCACCTCTCCGCCCCCTCCTTTCTTCCTTCGCCCCTACGGCGACGCTGCCATTTGCCCAACCTTCCTTCCTTCCCTCTCTTAACCGGTGGGCGGTGGATTGTTAATTACTCTGTCAAGTGTCAATCTTCCCCTCGCGCGTTAATCCTCAGGCCAAGTTGCTCGTTTCCCAGCCCCACCAAGCCCGGCTTGGTAGCAGTCGCAAGCCGGTTGCTCATCCAAACTACCTTATTATATAATAAATAAATATACTACGGACCACGGAGCAGGAGTAGCAGGTTTGGCCCTGAACAAATACGTTTGAGTAGTAGTACATTAGTCCTGATACCGTAGCCTAATTAACTGGCCGTCAATCCAGAGGCGACCATGTCTGTCCTGCCTGCCACACCCGCCGGCGCGCGTGACCCACGAGGGCCAATTCCAGCCAGAGGGAAGAGCCAGCAGCCAAGGCTAGGCGGCGCGTACGCGATCCAGCCGAGCCCGACCCGGCGGGCAAGCTAACGCAACAAATGGCTTGGCCTGTTGGCTCCGACCCGAAGCCAACAGCATAATTACGCCGCGAGCCCGCGACAAAGCTTATTGCTCGCCGCGAGTGAATTCCGGAATCCCCGGTCAATCCGACGCCACACGAAACGAAACACAGGACAAGAGAGAGAGAGAGAAGGCCGAAGGGCGACGCGACGCGGTCCCCCGATTCCAAACTCCCCAAATCCCCAATCCCAAGTCGCCCCTCTCGCGGCCGAGAGACCCCGATTCGGATCCCATCTCCTGCTCGGAGGAGGGAGCCTCGATTCGAGCGGCGGGGGGCGACGATTCGACCGGGCCAGTGGTAGCCAGGCAGAGAGAGGCAGGGGAAGGAGAAGGAGAGGATGAGCTTCCAGGACCTGGAGGCGGGCCACGTCCGCGGGGCGCCGCTCGGCGGCGGCCGGAGGAACGGCCGGAGCCCCGCGGGGGCGGCGGGGGGCGCCGGCGCCGGCGCGTCGCAGGCCGTGGCGTCGGGCGTCTTCCAGATCAACACCGCGGTCGCCACGTTCCAGCGCCTCGTCAACACGCTCGGCACGCCCAAGGACACCCCCGACCTCCGCGACAGGATGTGCGTCCGCCGCCCCGCCTACCCTCCTTACCTTACCTTACCTTACCTTACCTTACCTTACCTTACCTTACCTTACCTTACCTTACCCCCAATCTGTCTCGATTGCCTTGCCTTAACCCCCATCTGTTTTGATTTGGCTGACTCGGTCTGCTCTGGTTTTGATCCGCCTGTAAAATTACGGCCTAGGTTTCGTTCCCTGTTGTGGATGCATCGATTCCTGTGGCAAATGGTTGATACATCGATTACGGTTGCCAATGGTTGCTTGGGGTTTAATTTTCCCTCATTTTTAGAGAATTGCCTCGGTAACTCAATTAGCTAATTCCATACGTTATCGCTCCTGACTGATAGATGCTTACTTTAGCTGATAGTCATCGGCCATTGAATTGAGCGAATCAAGCCATTGAATGACCTACATGGATTCATTTGCTCATCTGAATCAATTCTTATGCTGTCCTTGCCCATTTTGTGTTATATTTTGAAATTGAATGAATTAATAGTAACTCTAATGATGCCCAACTATAGGCTAGCAAGTTCCAATCATCTTGATGTGTCTACTACTAACTATCACTTGCTTTTGATTGCAGACATAAAACACGGCAACACATAACACAACTAGTGAAGGATACATCAGACAAGCTTAAACAAGCTAGCGAGGCGGATCATCGCGTTGAAGTCAGCGTATGTACCTATCTTGAATTCTCGATATAACTATATGAGTATTCTAAACTAAATTTTCCTGCGCCATTTTGTTCATTTTAAGTATAAATTTCTTGTTCTCTTTGATGGTACAAAGCATTACCTCATTCCTTTTTCCTCCTATTACACCAAGATATGATGAAATTCGGAACCATGCTCTGTTCACACCCTTACTTTTGTTGTTCCATAATGTAGCGTTGGTGTTGGTTCTGGTTTGGGATTATTTGAGCAAGTATGTTATCTTATATTGCAAAACATTTGGGGCTGTGTTTTGAACCAGAACCTGTAGCACAGATATTTATCCTCTCTGTTCCAATTACAGAAGAAGGGGGTTATTGAACAGAGACAACTCATGCATTCTGATTGGGAGGATCAAACCTAATGTGGTGTGTTTTGTTTTGTACAAATTTAGTTTTGCATAAAGTAATAGTTGATGTAAGTATGCAGTGGCGGACCCAGCACAAGAATAGATGTAGGGCGAACCTAGGCTACAAATTTTGCCTAAAAAACAATAGCAATCGTATCACCGTTTACAACAAAATCTTAAACAATACCCTTCAATGGGGAAATCTTAAACAGCTCGTTACAGTAACGTAACAATCTATGGCTCGGCAATCTGTTGCAAATTGCAATCAAGCATAAACATACTAGAGGCCGAAGCAACACTTGATCAATTATCATTACTCCAGTGAATGAATCGGCAGAGTTCATTACAGATGGACAAATTAGAAGATCGAGGCATGAAGCGAGAAGGCTCACAGCACAAAGAAAAGAGAAGGAAAAGAGGACGGCAGCAGATGGCGTAGGATGTAATGGGACGACTTCATCTCCTCTGCCCAGGCGCCCACAGCTTATCTTGTCTCCAAACCCAATCATCACCGCTTCAAATGTCAAGCCTTCGACAGGGCCACAGCACCCAGAAGCACACAGGGGCAGGCCGTAGACGGGCAGGTGCTGGGGTTTGGGATGTCACCGTGCCAGGGATTGGCCGGGCCTCTGCGCCGAGGAATGGGGTTTGGGAGATAGCCATGCCGGGGAATGGCCAGCCCCCCGCGCCGAGGAATGGGGTTCGGGAGGTTTCCATGCTGGGGAATGGCCAGTCCGCTGCGCCGAGGAATAGCCGCTGGGGATCGGGAGCGATACTGCAAGCCAGCCTGCTCTAATGCCTAAACAAGGCCCATATAATGTAATAGCCCAGTATAGAAGGCCAGAAGCGCACTCCGCCGGTTTGATTGCCGCCGATGACGACCTGCTCGACTGCTCTCGTCTAGTCGTCTTCAACCTTGACTCCTCGAGTTCGGCGTTGCTGGTCGGCAGTCTGGGGGCCGGAAGCACCACTTGGGGGTGGGGGTCCCGCCTGTAGGTGAGGTAGGGCGGCCGCCTGACCTCGCCTTATGGGTTGGTCTGCCTCTTATAACTACAGTAATTTTCTTTCATTATTACAGCATGCTTCTCTTCTGGCATGGTGGCATTCCATGTGTCGAAAAAAATTGTAGCAAGTTTTGAAATTATCATCATGCATTTAAGACAAATCTCATACCAGCTCCTGTATGTTTTTTTTTTTGGCCATGCCATGCCTATTCCTCTATCATCTGGGGAATTTTGTTTTTCCTTGTGGATGACAGTTGGCCTTTTCTTCTTACAATTGTGGTCATGATCTCGTATTGACTTGCAGGCTACGAAGAAGATTGCTGATGCAAAGCTAGCTAAAGATTTCCAAGCAGTCCTAAAAGAATTCCAGAAAGCTCAACGATTGGCAGTAGAGAGAGAAGCTTCATATGCACCTTTTATTTCTCAAGCGGGCCTGCCACAGAGGTAATTTGCTGGCAGATATTTTTTTTGTTGCATTTCTACAAGGATTTTTCTTCTTCCAAACAAAATGAATTCGTATACATTTTTTTGGTGGTATTCATTTCTTGCCTTGTTGGTACTGGTAGTCCTTGATAGGACATGGGGCATTGCGTAGGTTGTAGCAGTGGGTGACTGGTGGCCAGGGCTTGAATCCCTGGTGTTGAGGAGCTGTGCTGTGTGCAGCAGAGAGCGAGAGTAAGAGCATAAGAAGCAAGCAGAGAGATAACTCAATCTCCTACTTAATCTGGATGATCAATGTTCCTGGCTTTATAGCCAAATCCTACGAACTTATCTAACCAATCCAACACAAAAGATAACAAACCAAATTAACGAACTAAACTTATTTGAAGTTCAAATGATGTGGACGACTTGGTGTGATGTGTTCTTCTGCACCTGCGCCATAAGCCACGGCTTCAATTGTTGCAGCGCTGGCAGGCATTCCCGACCATAACAGTCCTCTAATGGTACAATGTCTGAAAATTTATTTATTATTAATACAAGTGCATTGAATAAAATTATAAAAGATTTTGCCAGCCAGTTGCCAAGTGCAATAAGATGGCCATCAACATCACAAAGATACATCTCAGGAATTAAGTTAGCTGCACTCTATGTGAAATAAAAACTTGTGATAAACCAAACTTGATGCCTTTTTAGGACCTTCTGATCTTTTTCCAATATCAGTATCCAAAAACATTACATTTTAAGGTTGTTTGGTTTCATCAATCCTTGCTAACCTTAACCTACATGCTACGACAGTGTTATCAAAGCGTCGCTTAAGTGCCAAAGCGCTGTGTGCGTGACGACATAGCAGATGCCTCGCCTTATATTCATATGGTGTCCGCCTTATGGCCAAGGCGCCAAAAAACGTCGCTTGGGTGTCCGATTCGCGCCAAATCGTTCATGGCGAGCGCCATAGGGGGAAGTCTCTGTTCTGGGTGGTGGGAAAATGCGTGAGATGGACGGAGAAATGGTGGGAAAAACTGAGAGGAACACGCGTGCGGGAGATTCTCTCACCAGTGAGCAGGAGAGGATCCGGAAGCCTCACGCCTTAGTTGCTTAAGTGTAAGGCGGTAGTCAGTCGCCACGCCTCAGCTTACCGCTTTGGTAACCATGCGGTGCGACATTATATTTCTGCTGGCATTATAATTTGCAGCACGAAGTTATCAACTATTGAAAGCTAATCTAACCCTGCCATGAGGCTAAATATCAGAAATGTATTACTTTCTGAGATGAGCCCACAAACTGAATCATTTTTGCTTGATATATTCCCTATTTGGCCTCTTACCAAGTTACTGAAATAAGTTTGGTTCACTACCACATTTTGCCAGAACAAAGTTAAGCATGTTGGACCAAGCGCTAGCATTTGGTTCATGACTGCTGCTGTGGCTTGCTAGCCCCTGTCCCAGTTGTCGGTCTCGTGTTCTATTTTGGAATACTTGTGTTGCAAGAAGAGAGGGAAAGTGTGCTAGTCTTGATTTCACATGATAAAATATTTCCTCTAGCATAGTCTATTTTAGTGATTCAATAGAAACAGTAAATATGATCGTTGGACCTTTTTTTCTATAACTCATTTTATAATTGTTTCCCTTCTGTAATTCATTAATAACGATGAATTTTGAGAATTGCTCTTTTCTTCTCACTTCCCTCGTTTTAATTCTGTTAATAGTAATGTTGCTAAAATTGTTCAGTCTATTGCCACCATATGCCTAACCTTGGAGTTACCATTATTTACAGCTACAACTCAAGTGAAGTGAACAATGGTGCTGATAAGTTGGCAGAGCAGCGCACGCAACTTCTAGAATCTAGAAGGTAAGTTGATTTTGTCTGTTGTGTTTTGTGGAACTACTTGTTCTATATAGATTTGTTAGCTCTGTATTCAGGTTTTAATTTGGAGACCCATATACCTTCTTGATTGTATAACGTTGCTTGGACAATACATATCACCCTTTGTTTGCATGTCAAGAACGAGACATTTTCCCTCCTTGCACAGGTCATTTTTCTGAATATCTCTAGGTTCTAATTTCTAACTTTTGATTTACCATAGGCAGGAGTTGGTCTTCTTGGATAATGAAATCGTGTTCAATGAGGCCATCATTGAGGAGAGGGATCAAGGAATACAAGAGATTCAGCACCAAATCACTGAAGTAAACGAAATCTTCAAAGATCTTGCTGTGCTAGTCCATGATCAAGGAGCAATGATAGGTATGTGACCTTTCTGGCAAATTGGATCTACATTTCGATACGCTCAAGCATAGGGCTGCCTATTTCCCCATCTAACTGTGTTTCTCCTTTTGTGAACCAGATGACATTGACTCCCATATAGAGAATGCCGTCGTCGCGACTTCGCAGGCTAAAGGCCAGCTTTCAAAAGCTGCTAAAACTCAGAAGTCAAACTCTTCGCTGGTAGTTTCATGAGCTCTTTTACAATTCGTTAATTAATATCCTAGATCCATTTTTAGGAACGTCATCCTCCATCATGCATCATTCCTGTTCAGGTTTAGTGACCAAATGTTCTTGCTGCAGATATGCTTGTTGCTGGTTATTTTCGGAGTGGTCCTGCTCATAGTGATAATAGTACTTGCAGCCTAAAAGCTTGGAAGGCAGCTGAGGTTCCGAAATCTGATCGAGCTTATCGTGACAAATTCCTTCATAAGTTATTTTTGCTGTGCAGCCAGGAATGAATCCTGGTATCCGCCTGGAGGTATCCAGGCGGTGATTGGCGCTCTGCCTGTGGTATGGTGGTGTGTATGTGGTGATGATGTATCTGGAATGCATGGGTGGTTCACATAAAAGTATTACTCTTTCCTGCCAGTGTAGTGCCTCTTGTCTCATTTGCACGCTTTGTTTATATATTCAGCCTGTTCGCTGGTTGGTTTCTGGGCTGATAAGCCCGGCTGGTGCTGGTTTGTTGTGAGAGAAAAATACTGTACCATGGCTGATAAGCCTTGGCTGAAATCAACAAGCGAACATGCTGAGTAATGTATGAGTGCGTGCTGTAGAACAAGGTTGGATTATCTGTGGTATGAAGTTTCTCGATTCCATCAGAAACACTTTGCTATATGTCAACTTCTTTTTCCTTTTTCCTCTCGGGCTACATGATATTAGTTGGTATTGGTATCCACCAGGTCCATCATTGTTATCTGCTCGCTTATTATGTGGTTTCATAGTTTTCTGCTTACAGAATGTATAAGTTGGTTCATGAGAGGATAAAATGGTGTTACTATAATCTAATGTATTTATAATTATCGAAGAGGGAAACATGAACTATTAAATCCTACTATGATTGCTGGGAAAACTAGCAGTCCGTGAGCGTTGCAACAGGAGAAAATCATGGTACAAGAAGGTATTAGCAAGTTTGGATTGCATTGGCCGTTCTGGTAACCTGTTTGCAGAAAGTTTGGATTGGTTGGCCGGTCTGGTAACCTGTTTGCTGTTGTGGTGTGGTGGACATGGTGAAAATCACCGTGGGCGGCTGGGCGCAGAACTGACGGGCGTTGGATATGCCGTCGGATATGATTTGACGAAGAGCATAAGAGCCGGTGTGGTGAGCGTGGCAAAGCCACCGTGGGCGGGTGTCGGATTTGGTTGGGTTTGATCAGGACGAAGAACATATAAGTCTCGAGATCTCGCTTGCTTGATGGTTCACCAAGAGGGTCAAGCTCACCCTTGTCCAAGCCTGTCTACGACCACCAAGATATATTCATATTATTAAGATTTGTATACCATACCATAGAGTGTTGCTGCCCCGAGACAACCAATATATTCAAAGGCTTATGTACCATGAGCCTGTTCGCTGGTTGGTTTCTGGGCTGATAAGCCCAGCTGATACTGGTTTGTTGTGAGAGAAAAACACTATTGGCTGGCTGATAAGCCCTGACTGAAATCAACGAGCGAACAAACTGCATATCATAGAGCGTATATATAGTTGCGCATTTAGGCATTTAGGCCTAGACAGGAATAGTTACATGGCTTATAATGTCTTGCTTGAGGTGTTGATCACTTCAATTTTCATTTTGCCTAAGTCCAAGCCAACATACATTTGAACTTAACCTTTGAGTCTCTTTACTACACAACCATGTGTTTTATGCAATTTCAACACATGAATTTTTTTGCACCATAAGATTAAGATCCAACAGCCTCCAGCCTTCTTCTACCTCCAGCCTTCTTCTACCTTCAGACAATCACGAGATCACAGATCTATAGATCACATATCACATGAAACAATTTTTTTCTATGGAAGGACAAATCATAGATCCACCGCCGCCACCGCCACCGCCGCAGGTCGCGGTCGCTGCAGGTAGCCGCCGCCGCCGGCGCCCAGGCTGCTCGCCTCCGCCTTTGCCTCGCTCGACGCTCCTCCCAGGCTGCTAGCCGTCCGCTTGCCGGAGCCGCATCCGCTCGCCCGCCGCGTCCGCTTGTCGGAGCCATGCCATGGTCGCCCGCCTCGCTCGCGTGCTGGTGCTGGTTCTCCGCTGCCTCGTGCGGGCGCGGACGCCGGGGCGAGCTCGCCGGTCGCCGCCGCGGGCGCCGGTGGTCACCGGTGAGAAAGAGAGGGAGAGATAAAAAAATCCATGTGTTTTTTGTGCTAAAACACATGTGTGTTGTATAACATTTCTGTAACCTTTTATACTAGAAAATGTTGTTAATCCAAATGGTCATTTTATTCATCAAACACCAAAATCCAACTTAATGGATCACAGAACCATTTTCCATACAATCTCCCATATTTTGGTGATATAATTGATGACAGCACGAACAAAACAGGCAAATAATAGATATCACATATAAAAATTTAAATACAACCTATCTACTTGTTTGGCAAGAGCAATATCATATGATGCTAACTGAAATATGCAATATACTACATGTGTATTACTTATTACCATTTGTAATATGTCCCCTTACGTGACATTATGGGTTTAAGCCCCCTAATTCCATAATCCACTTCCTCCCTCTCTGCACTGATTCAAACAATCTTCAGTACCAGTACCACCATTGACCCAATGGAAACAAGTCCAACTACAAGACTGATCAAAATTAGAAAGATGAGTACTCAGTCAAGATCGGTACTTTAGTTTCATATTTTTCACTTATATATAAACATTGATTAAAAGCATTCCACTTTGGCACACAATAATCGTCGAAATTTATTAAACACAACACACTTTGATTAAACAAAATAATCGTCGAAACTTTGACAGAAGAAAATGCATAGAGATAGTACGAGTTGGAAACAAACAGTAGAAGAACATCGTGCACGTGAGCATGCTTATGCAAAGCTCCGTGCTCTCGCTACGATGGAGAGAGCTAGAGCCCGTTAGGCTTCACATAGTGCTGTAGAACCTCAGCGGCCTTGCCCTGCAGCAGGTCCCACACCTCCATGACGTGCTGCAGCTCCGTCGAGGCACCGCCGACAGCTAGCCGGATCACGAACTTGCCGTCCACCACGAAGTGCGTCATGAACGCCCGCCCGCTCGCGTTCACCGCCGCGAGGAGATCCCGGTTCGCGTGGTTCGTGGCGTCGTCGCCGTCGTCGTCGTCCCGGCCGAACCGCGGTGCGAGGCGGAAGCATACCAGGGAGAACCTCCTCGGGACCACCACCTCGAAGCGCTCGTCGGCCGCCACTCTCTGCTCGAACCACTTGGCTGCTGCGACGTGCCGACGGATGTGCGCACGCATGCCAGCCGCACCGTACCGCCGCAGTATGACCCAGAGCTTGATGGCACGGAACCGGCGCGACATGGAGATCTGCCAGTCCTTGTAGTCTATGGCGGCCGGATTTCCTGCGCCGCCGTCGTCCGCGCCGACATTCTTGAGGTACTCCGGGTCGGTGGACAGCGCGGAGGTTAGGTCACGGGGTCTTGCCACCCACAGGCAGCAGCAGTCCATGTTGGTAAGGAACCACTTGTGCGGGTTCATGCTCACCGAGTCGGCGAGCTCCGCGCCGTCGAGGTAGTCCTGGAACTCCGGGCAGATGGCCGCGCTGCCGGCGTACGCTGCGTCGAGGTGCACCCACATGCCATGGCGGCGCGCCTCCTCCCCGAGCTCGCGAACGTGGTCGACGGCGCCGAGCCCCGTCGTGCCCACCGTGGCGCAGAGGTACAGCGGCACCAGCCCGAGTCCGACGGCCGCGCGGACGGCTTCCGCGGTGAGGCCGTACCCGGAAGCCGCGGACGTCCTGATGACGCGGAAGTTGGAGGACGGGATCCCGACGAGCTGGGCGCCCTTCTGGAACGTGGCGTGCGTCTGGTCGGAGGCGTAGACCACGAGCCTGGCGATGGCCTCGTGCCCGCCGAGCCTACCCAGCGCGCGGTCCCGCGCGGCGGCGAGCGTGCACACCACGGCCTCGCACGTGCTCCCCTGCAGCACGCCCCCGCCGCCGCCGGAGAAGAGGAACCGGCGCGGCAGGCTGAACAGCCGCGCCATCCAGTCCACGACGACGCTCTCGAGCTCCGCGGCGGCCGGCGACGCGGCCCACACGAAGGGCACGACGTTGAGGCCCACCGACAGCATCTCCCCCGCGAGCCCAGCGGAGCTGGCGTTCATCGGGAAGAAGGCGAAGAAGCGGGGGCTCTGCCAGTGGGTGAGCCCCGGCAGGATGTCCCTCCTCACGTCCTCCAGTATGTGCTCCATCGGCTCGCCGTGCTCTGGCGCGGCCTCGGGGAGCAGCTTGCGGACCCGGCCTGGCTCCAGGTCCGCCGCCCTCACCGGGTACTTGTCGACGTCGCGGTAGTACTCGGCGAGGAATTCTAGAATGGCCTGCGAGTCGCCGGCGATGGCGTGGGGGTCCAATGGCTTCATTGGCGCGTCCAGTGGCATGCTATCCATGGCCGCGACGACAAGTTAAGCCCTCTAGCACGGCTCATCCAAAACGACTTCATCGGTGAAGCAAAAGCCGGTGAAACCAGAAAAATTGATTTTTTCGGCTTTTTATTTTAACCTCGACTTACAAAACGGTTTCACGCTACCGTGCCTCGATTTACGTAAAATAGATGAAGCCGAAACCGACATAAGCCATGCCAAAAAGGAGCAGGAGCTTCCGGTTCCGGGAGAAGATGTATTCTATGGGCGTGTTTGTGTCGGCTTCAGTTGTGCATGCAGTGGCTTATATATAGTGCGAACACGCAGGCTATACGCGCTAGAACAAACGTTCATGATTTGGCGAGCACACTTCGTGCCGTTTGGTAGAGCTACTTTAGTTGTGGCTTCATCTACGATGTAGATTCGCTTGAGAAGCTGAAGTATTTTTTTTACTGTTCGGTAAAACAGTTTCATCTGATAATCAAAAAAATAAAATATCCATTATACATTTATTTTTTTCTTTTTTTTCTCTCCCTTCAATATGTTCTCTTATCCTTATCCCCAATCAGACAGGGTCTATCTGGAACAAAGGAATGATAGGAAAACATAGGAACAGAGGGAAGTAAAAAGTGGAAAACTATAGGATTGCAAACCATATATGAACAAAAATTATGGACCGTTTGGGTTGCAGGAAATAAATTTGAATCTTCACATTTTCCAATGAAGTCACGGATTCGTCATCTGTCTGAGGCTCCGAGTTGGAGGGCGGCGAGTGCGTCCGCGTGCTCTCGTGTGGCTAGCGATTAGGCCATGGCGGGAGGGAGAAAGGCAGTGGCAGAAGAGTCGAAAGAGCAAGCATAGATGCGTTTCCTCCGTTTCCTTGGGTCAGAGTGGATCTTTTAGTTTCCCGTGTTTTGTGTATCTAGAAAAGAAACCACGATGGCAAAGGCCTGCGGCCTTTGGCTTCCTCGTGTCGCCGTCCCAAAGCCCGACAAGGTCCTCCTCGTCGGCAGGGCCGTGCGGCCCGCGCTCCGCCACCGCCCTTCCTCCTCCCTAGTCGCGCGGGCCGCCCTCCTCGCTGGCATGGCTGCGTGGTCCGTGCTCTGCTGTCCGCCACCCTTCCTCCTCCCCAGTCGCACGTCGGGTCCTCCACGTCAGAGTGCTCGCGTGCCCGAAGCTCCGACGCGCCTCTAAATATAACTGCTCTAATCAAATTAAATCCTCCCGTTGGTTCGAATTTAATTGGAAGATAATAATCATTAAACTTTGTAGCAAAAACATGAAAAATTCTTTATCTACTTTTCAGAAGCATTTTACTTTACTCATCTACTCTCTGGAAAAATTATCCCGTTGGTTCAAATTTTGACAGAGATTCAAAACTTGACAAAAATCATTGAAATTTGCTTCTGAAAATTGTCAAAACTGCTTCTGAAAATAAATAAAAACTTGAAATATTAGCAACTGTTCGTTTGGCCCGGCCTATGGAAATACAGCACGCGGCCCAGCCCAACCGTAGCAGCATGTGGCCCACTCAGCGAAATCGGCCCACGCCGATCGTGCGCGTCGCCCTCCCCCGCGCCCAGGCCGTAACCTGGGCCTGGGCCGGGAAATCGGCCCACAGCGCCGCCCTGCACCGCTCCGCCTGTGCCAGTCGTCGACCTAGCGAGCGCTGGCCGTTGATCTCGAATCCGACGGTGGGGCGTTGATCCTGGCGGAACAAAACCTCACGGCGCCGGTCTCTCCCCGAACCCTAATCCCATTTCCTCCCTCCCCTTCTCTCTCCTCAGCGGCACGGTGATAGAAAAGACGACGGCACGACGGCAGCGCATGGCGGCTGGAGAGAAGGAAGACGGTGGCACTACTGCGGGGCCCCTCGCCGGCGCGCACACTTGCCCTAGGCTGAGTGTGCCGTCGTCGAGCGGCCTTATGGTTGCGCCTTGGATCCCGAGCCCGCACGTTGAAGACCGCGTGGCGGCGCGACGAGATCTCGGTGAACATCCCATGCGGTGGCGGTGGTGACAGCGGCGAGGTCTAGGTAGGTCCCTCTCTTCACGCCGTCCTCTTGTCAGTTAGGGTTAGGGTTACGTATTTATGGGGATTCTTAGGGTTCATCCGAATCACCTTCTTCTAAAAGCTTCTTGCTTTCTACCCGAAAGATTAGATCTATACTTAGACCAACTCTGATACCATTGTTAGTCAGATAGGAGCATTAGGAGCATAGATCTAGCCGGTAGAATGGTTCTATTCAGGATAAAAGATGTAGTGCATCCTACTACATGTAGAACTAGAGAGACAGAGAGGGAAGGGAGAGAGATGAGATGTCACCGGTCATCGGAGGGTTTGGCGGTGGAGCTAGAGCCGTCCATAGTGATGTCGGTGATGCTATGAAGTCCAAAATGGTGAAGGAGGTGGTGTGGAGGCGGTGCTATCTCGGCGACGATGAGGCAGTGGGTCTTCCCATCGCTGGCAGCGCCGCTCCCTCTAGATCGGGTTAGGGTTTCTCTATAGGCAGATTGTGGTGGCTCAGGTCAACCTCGTACCTTGTGCCTCAGCCCCTACCTCTATTTTATGGTGCTGTGCGATGGGGGGCCACCAACCATGGAGCGGTTGGGCGCCCCCGATCAGGGCGCGGATCCAAGGGCCCAATTGGCCGTGGTGGAGATCAAACTAACAGTTGCATGTCCCTATCTGAAATTCTAAATCCTTGCTTCGTTGGAATGCTTGCAGCGGTGTCCAACGCCGGGTTCATCGCACGGGACCTGATGTTCCGGAACATGGTGGGGCTGGTGGCGCACCAGGCGATGGCGCTGCGCGTGGACTCGGACCGCTCCACCTTCTTCCGCATGGCCGTGGAGGGCACCAAACACGCCAGACGTCGCGCTTTCGCTCCGGCAGCTCCACCATGACTACCGCGATCGCCCGCACTGTGGACTTCGTCTTCGACAATGGCATCGTCGTGGTGCAGCAGCCTACGTGTACCCGCAGCCGCCCTGACCAGAGACGGGGAGCATCACCGTGCAGGGGCCGCAAGGACCCCAACCGTAACACGGGCTTCTCCTTCCATGGTCTGCGTGGTGGAGGCAAGTACCGGCGATCTGGGGCCACCCGTGGAAGCCCTTCTCGCGGGTCGTCGTGGTGGAGTCCTACCTGGGCCCTGACATTCAGGCCCACGGGTGGCTCGAGTGGGCCGCTGCTGGCTCAGGGGACCATAGCTCAGGCCTCACCACACTATTCTATGGAGAGTACAAGAACTACGGGCCTGGGATGGGCGTTGCGGGCCGAGTGAAGTGGGGAAGCGTTCGGCACGCGAGCAGGAAGAGGGAGGGAATCGCGCGCGTGCGGGGGAAATAAGCGCGGGAGGGCGCGGGAAACACCAGGCGGGCCCGACGTGGGAGCACAAATTGGCCGCAGAAATGAAGTCGGGATTTGTCGCACTCTAGTTCTGCCTCCTCCTACCTCCGGCCGCCTGCCTCCCTCCTCGCACTTGGTCCCTCCTCGCCGTCGTTGGTAGGGCCATAGGGGTCGTTGCTAGGGCTCCCTTTCTCCTCCACGGGCGTAGAGGCCGCAGGCACAAGGGCCGTCGGCAATGTAGGCAGTCCAGCACGCCCCCTCGATCTGCAACAGAGGGCAGGCCGCCCGGCAGGAGGGAGTCAACAACAAGAACAACAGAGGCCGGTGCAGCCCCTCACTCGTTCTCTCCAGTGCTCCCCTCGGTCTCACCCAAATCCCCATCTTCCCATGCTCTGTTCTTTTGATTTATGTATGTCAATAATCTGAAATTGATCTGTTAGTCTTGGTCCTTATTATGCTACTCTTGTTTCATTAAGATTGAATGTGTCTTGCTCCTTAGTCCTTGATGTGTTGATCTGTTACTCTTGGTCCTTATTATTCTACTCTTGTTCTTGGATTGGGATTAGGATGTCGGCTTCCGCAAGCAAAGTCTTTGAGTGTCTTTTGAGCGGCTGACTCGAAGCTACCGATACTACCAACCACCTAAAGAGGAAATCATCGATATAGGTCGGGAGGGCGTCTCTGTGATCCCAATGACAAGAACAAAGTCAAGTGTCTTCTTTGTGGCCATGAGAGTGCAGGAATTAATCGCCTTAAGCAAAGATCTTGCTCATAGGGGCACTTCTATTGCGAAGTGCCAAAAGTTCCCCGATGATGTTAAGCAAAAGTGCATTCAGAATCTTGATGAAATAGCAAATAAGAAGAAAGGGAAGCAACAACGTGATAAAGAGCTTAGGGAGAATGTGCAACTTGCAACAGTGAAGAGGAAGTGATGGAAGTTGAGTCACTTGTTTGGAAGCTCAAGTACACCTCACAAGCTAGGACCCATGGACGATTTACTCGTCCCATTGATCCCAAGTTAAGCGTACTTTGAAGCTAAGAGGCAACATAACATAAATGAAGCACTTTGGAAAGAAAGAACTCACCAAGTGCAGCAATATGTTGCTAAATGGGTATATACACATGGTATGTTCTCAGTACTTAAGTAATTTACCATTCCTTATTGCTGCAGCCTTTTTATTTATTCGAATCCATGCATTATTAGCTGCTGCAATTATAATTTTTTGCACCATTCTATTTTGCAGCTATTCCATTTAATGCTTGTGATAATGATGAGTTCAAAGAAATGGTTGAAGCTATTGGTCAATTTGGTCCTGGTTTCCAACCTCCAACTCAAAGATGATTATCGGGTAGATTGTTGGATGAGGAGTATGCAAGAACGAAGAGCTTGCTACAAGACCGTGAAGATGAGAAGGTTAAGAATGGCTGCTCCATCATGATTGATGCATGGACCAGATATGAAGAGAAGAAGTATTATGAACTCATGCACAAATACTAGTGAGGGCACAACATTTATCAAGTCTGTGGAGATGTCGATGTGTCACACACTAGTGAAGTTATCTATGAGCTCATTGACAAGGCAATTGAGGACGTAGGTGTGCTGAAAATGCGATTGCAAGTTGTGACAGATAATGCCTCTAACAACATGGGAGCAAAGGCATTGCTTTGCACCTCAA